GTCTTGAGCCCCTGACAGGGAAAGAGTTGCAGCAGAAAGAGACCCTGGCCTATGAGAGAAGAACAGTATCTGAGAACAAGAGTCTAGCGTGCATCCTACCTCTGAACCCAACAAACTCCTCACTCGGCTCAAGAGATCTGGCACCCCCCGCCCCCAGCCGGCATGCGGAGAAGACGAAACTCTCAGGGTTGTGCTGGAGCCAGAGAGAACAGATATCTCCGGGGTCACACTTACACCCGCCGCCATGTCCCAGACTGAGCCCTATGCTGAGCACTGGGAGATAAAGAAAGAAATGAGACCTGGACCGTGCCCTCTAGCACCCGGGAAAGGAAGGACTAGAGCAGGACACACGGTGGCGTGACAGGATGCTGAGCGCTGCAGGGACAGGCGCTGCGGAGCTCCGGGACTACTACTGCCTGCGGAGGCTCAGCTGACCCACACCTGCAGGGACGGACTGGCCTGCGAGAAAGCAAGTGAGGGGACGGGAAAAGGTGCAAGGGGAGTACACGGCATGCACTAGGTCAGAGTGCGAGGGGCATGGTGCCTTTGGAGAGTGGGAGAAGCTGAATGTTGCTGGGACGCAGGCTCTGAACAGGGGGAGAGGGCGAGGAGCAGGCTAGCGCCTGGAGGAGCTTAGCCTGGCTGCATCTTAGACAACCAGGAGCCAGTGGGGGGTTTTCTTAGGAAGGGAGTGGCAGGAACACACCTGTGTTCTGGGAAGACAATCCTGGCAGGAGTGGAGGCCAGATCAGAGCAGCAAGATGGAGACCAACAGGGACGAGAAGCTGTGCCCTGAGCCAGGGAGTGAGGCAGGGAAGAGCACAGGACCCAGGCGGACTCTCCTGGGTGAAGCCCTGGCTCTGCCATTGACTGTGTGACCCTAGATATGTCGCCTGGCCTGAGCCTGTTTCCTCCCCTCTGTAAAACAGTACCTCCCGGTGGGGCTGTTGTGAGCATGGGATGATGAACGCAGGCCGGTCTCATAACAAGAGCTTAATTAGGAGCTGCTATTATCCCATCACTGCTATTATTATGAGGAGCCAGATTTGAGAGAGAGGATGGGGGAGTGCAGAGGGGGCTCAGACTGTCTGGATGGGGGAGGGAAGAGTGTTCTCGTCAGGCTAAGAGGGATGCAAGAGTTGGCTCAGGGAGAGATGGCGAGGCCAGTGCTGGACACGCTGAGTGCCGCAGATGGGGCAGAGCTCAGGAGAGGCTGTAGAGGAGCACGAAAGGGTGTGCTCAGAAGCAAAGAACCCTGGATTCAAACACTGGCTTTGCCTTTCTGGGCTGTGAAACCACGGACAAGTTACTTAACACCTCTCCCCGCGTGTCTCCTCACCAGGAAAGCGGGGACCCACCATTTAGTTCACTGGGTAATATTGTGAAGATTAGAATACAGACACAAAGTACCAGCGGAATGTCGGACAAAGAGAAGATGTACAGTGAGAGCTATTCAGACATAGGTATCCCAGAACATAAGACAGAAGCCAAACCACTAAGTGGCCAAAACCATGCAGGGAGTCAGGAGGAGGCTTGGGGCAAGGTCAGGAAGCACCAAAAATGGGGTTATGGAGGTCAGTACAGGGTGAAGCAGTGAAAAGCCACTGAAAAGATAATCTAGCGCAGCAGGGGCTGGGAGAGCTGGAGTTAGGGAGGACAGAGTTAAAAGCCACGAGAGGTCGATCTGGGCGAGAACTGAAGTGAGGTCACAGGATTTGGCAGTTAGAGGTCCTTGGTGGCCTTTGTCTGAGTGGAGCACAGTTCACCCATAGCTTGTCCAGGAGGCACCACCATGAGTCCCTGGTGAGCCAGACAGCTCAGCTGCCCCTAAGCGCAGGGACTCCTCCTGTAAGTAAGCATCTCCATGTCCCCAGAGCTCGGTCCCCACTAAGGTACGAGGTTTGGTAGAAAGAACGAAGTAGAATCAGTAGACTAGGCTTTCTGTCTCTGCCATGTGACCAGCTGCAGGACTCTGAGCAAGTCTCACCGCTCTGACCATCTCACCTGTGAAATGGGAACACCATGCAGACCTCCCGAGGGCTATGCACACCAAAGACGGACAGGCTGTCAGCCATGAGGTACGCCGTGAGGGTTTCTAGTTAACATCATTGCTGCCAGAGACACACGCCGAATGCTGCCGCACAGGCGCCGGCTCCCAGACCTCTGCTCACGCTGCGCCCAGAGTGCAGGGCTCCCTCGCTTCCTTGCCTAAAGCTCTCCACTGGCTTCTCTAGTGTCTTTACACAGGAGGCCATGGGCCCAGCACAGCGACCAATCAACTGACTCAACTCCCTCAAAACACAGGTGCCTGGATGGTCTAAAATGGGGTGGCAAGTTTGGCGGGGAGGGGCGAGGCCTGGCTCTGTGAAGACCCTGCAGCAGGGCCTCTGAGGATCTGTTTCTGCTCTGTTTCCCTCTGGGTGAAATGGGTCCGGTCCAGTCTCCTTTCCAGGCCACATCAGGAAGAGGATGGGAAGAGTGAAAAGAAGCCGGAGTCAAAGACCTGAGGCTGAGAAAGCAAAGCAGGGGAAGGTGAGCCCAAGAGTACCTGGTCGGTGACATCATACACCACAATGATGCCATGAGCTCCCCGGTAGTAGCTGGAAGTGATGGTCCGGAACCTCTCCTGACCAGCCGTGTCCCACTACAAGACAGTACGGGAGAGGGCAAGTCAGCCCTGGGCTCCATGCCCAGAGCCCCTACCTTCCATGGCGGAGGCCCCTGCACCAGGGGCCTTGGGAAGAGTGACACTCACGATCTGAAGTTTGATGGTTTTGCCATCCAGCTCAATGGTTCGGATCTTGAAGTCCACCCCGATGGTGCTGATGTAGCTCTCTGTGTACGTGTCATCCTGGAAGATCAGAAGCCAGTGAACTGTCCTGAGTGGACAGGCCGGAGGCCTAACTAGAAAACCTCCCTCAAGTTTCCTGCCCCAGCAAAGCTCCTAATTGCACCCAACTTGCCAGCCACCTGCCCTGGTTCAGTCAGCTATGTTGCTGGCAGGTCCTGCAACTTCATCCTTGATCCCCAGGTCTTGCAGCTACTGTGCTCTGGGTTGCCCATTCTCCCTCCAGCCCCGAGCCAGAAACCCAGAAGGATGGTATGGGAGACTTCTTACTCACAGCAAACCGAAGGAGCAGGCATGACTTGCCCACGCCCGAGTCACCAATCAAAAGCAGCTTAAACAGGTAGTCACTGGAGAGAGAGGATGGGAAAGTGTGAAGGCAGGTAGGGAGCCCACCCGCCATCATCCTGGAGCCAGTTACAGCGTTCTCCCATACTGAGGCCTGCCTGCGGTGTTCACAGGATCCTCCCACAAGTCCCAGGGAGGGAGAGCTGACCACCCCCATCACACAGCTGGCCCAAAGGCATGAGTACAGAGAGGGAGACTGAGGTCCAGAGAGGGACATGACAAAAAGTCAGGTGCCAGAGCTGGGTATCCCACCCTGACTCCGGACACACTCCATGGTCTGGAGCCCAGCAGGGACTGTCCAGGGAACTGCCTGGACTGCCCGGGGGGAACCCGTCTTGGCAGGGGAGGCCCCAAAGTGGAAGCCGGGCCCAGCCTGGAGCTTGTAGAGGGAACATCTGTGTGAAGAGCACGGAATGAAGCCTCTCAGAAGAGGTGGCAGTAACAACAGTCAGCAGGTAAGAGGTACTGAGTTCCTACCTGTGCCTGACCCAGTGCTAAGTATTTCAAATGCCCCCTCTCATTTAAGCCTCGCAACTGTTCAACCAAGTGGGTTGTTGTTATTCCCAATAAATGAGGAAACCAGAGTTGGGAGAGGGAAGTGACTTGCCCTAAGTCACACTGCTGTTAACTTTAAGACTGGACACCAGGTTCGGACCCCAAGTCTCCGTGAGGGCCAGTCAGTTCCCTCCTCTCACCCCTGACCATCCCGCTCAGAGCCCCGCTCCCCAGGAGACGTGAGGCCTGGATCTGGAGGAGAAACAGGAAGAGGCAGACCGGGGAGAGAGCCGACTCTCCAGGGCACTGTCAGCGAGAGGCCGGGCAGATGTGGGCCCCCCACCCCCAGGGGGAGTGACCCGGGGCTTGGAGGAAAGAGAATCCCTGGAAGGGGAGCAACCGCCCCGTTCATCTGCACATCGGCGGTGACAGCGAGGGAAGGGGTGTGACGGCGGCGCTGGGGCTGCGCCGGGGAGGAGCGGGCAGGAAGGGACCGGGAGCGGCGAGGCAGCCAGACCCACCGGGGCAGGACCTGCGGCGGGAGGACCTGCGGGAGAGCCACCCCGAGCGAGCAGCGCCTCGGGGCCTCCGCGTCTAACCAGCCCCGGGAACCAGATTCCGGGAGAACGGGAAGAGCAGAAGGATCGACGGCCCGACCTCAAGGGCCGGAGTCTGGACCGAGACCGGGAACCGTCTGGTGAGAGACCATAACGCTGAGGCCACTGTCAGCACCCTGATCGCCACGTTCAGCCAAGTGGGGAAACTGAGGCCCGGAGAGGCCAGGGCTGCGGGGTCACCTGACCTATGAGGCCTGTTAGGGTCAGTCCCTCGGGCTCCAAGTAGTGTCCCTCGGGGTCGCAGTCTCTGGGCCCCGGGTGCAAGAACTAGGGGTGTGAAGCCGGGGTCCTGGGGGCCCCGGGGGAGGGGCAGGACCCGGATGTGGGGGGGGGGTCAGCGGAAGAAGGACCCGGATGTGGGGGCGCCGCACAGTCCTGACCCGGGCCGGACAACCCGGTAAGCGCACAGCCCCGTACTCGGGATCGAGGCTACGCCGGACGGCGCAGGCGGGGCTCACTCACTATTCGGGGTTCATGGCGGCAGCGGCGGCCCGCTCGGTAGCTCCCAGTCGGCTCTGCTCCGCCTCCTGTTCCAAGATGGTGGCCGCTCCGCCCCAGAGGCCCCGCCCGCGACGCGCAGCCGCACATTCCTGACTGGGACCTCGCTGCGTTGCTTCTCGGGACTTGTAGTCTCCTTACGTTGTCCAACACACTCCGTGGCGCAGGCGTAAACCTGGGAGCCCGAGCCTTCTAGCTCACCACTGCGCATTGCCTTCTGGGGCTTGTAGTTCACTCTCTAGACACACCTGGGCTTTTGGACAGCGCTTGGGAGCCTGGAGTTGGAAGCTCTACTGGAGGCTGGGGTTGACACTTTTCACCCTCCCGCCTCCCGGAGTTGTATTAGTACAAGTTCATTTCTCCAGGGTTCTTCGTGTCCTGGCGTTCCTAACTCACAGCCACAGGCCCGGGAGAAGGTGTCCTCATCCACATTTTATAGATGGAAAAATCAAATTCCAGTAACTCGCGCAAGGTCTAACAGCTTAATAAGGGGCAGAGCTCAATCAAAGCCCACAATTCTCTAGAACCTCAAAGATTAAAACTGTTAGATCTTGACCCTTGGGACCCCCAATTATGGGAAAGGAGAATATCTGGGCTCCAGTTGGAGGAACCGGATGTGAGCGACACACACACACACACACACACACACACCCTTCATTCGCAGCCTTTCCCAACCCCAACCCCAACCTAGACCCTGGGAGCCCTGGACTTCAGCCCCAAAACAAGCCCGGCTCAGATTCAAACCATCTTTATTTCTACAGCAACATTTGAAAATAGAGAACGACCACCTCACCCCACAACTGGAGCAGCCCCTCCTGCCACAGCAGGGACATCACTGTCCCTCGAGAGAAGCTGCAGGCGTGGGAGAAGGCGTGGCTAGATGGCTCGACAGGCAGTGCCTGGGCGGGGGCGGGAGGGGCAGTGCATAAGGCCGGGATGCAGGGCAGGGCCCGGCATTGAGGGGGCTGGTAAGGGGAGGACTCTCCATCCTGGGGCATGGATCGATGGCGGGGCAGGACGCACCCCTCAGAGTCGGAAGGAGCGCGACAAGGCCCAGGGAACTCTTTGGGGAGATCCCCAGATGTGTTGTGGAGCCTGGGAGATACCACCGCGTGGAATGGGAGTGATTAAGGCCTGGGCGGTACCACTAGAGAAGGGTGGGGTGAGGGGAAGCCCAGGCAGTAAGGTAGACTGAGGAGAGGGGCGCGGCCAATAACTTATTTCTCTATATACAGAAGCAACGGCCGGGGGCAGGGCAGGGCAGGGTGCTGATGGGAGGGCAGTTACTTAGTGTTCTTGACTCCGGGTCAGGGGATGGCAGGCCACTGAGTCTCTACTTGGAAGACCCCAGCCAGCCTCTTTCACTGGCTCTGAACCTAGGGAGAGGGGGCCCTGCTGGAAGGAATAAATAAGGGGTAGAGCTGGGGCCAGACAGGCCCAGCCTCCAGGGCTCAGGCTGAGATGACAAGGAAGGAGGTTACCCTGAGATTGAACAGAAAAGACAGGGGTCCTTGGGAGAGACAGGCAAGACAAGCAGCAGGCCCATGCGCAGGGCTGGGGGTGAGGGCAGTGCCGGGCGGAGGCTGTGGCGACTGGCTGCCCTTCAGGATTAGCCCACCAGGGAGCTTCGTCGGGAGAGGTCCATGGAGCTGGAGCTGAGGGCGCGGCTGTCAGAGAGGCCTGTGCCTCCAGGCTGTGGGCAGAGGGGCAAGTGGCTCAGCTTGTGCTGCTGCCAGTCTGTGCTTCCCTGGCCAGAAGGGAGAGGGGCCTGACCAGCCAGAATCCCTGAGCCCCACCCATGCCCCACCTGGTACTCTGATACCCCGTCCACCTCCACAGTGCCTGTGTGGTACTGGCCACTGGCATGTCCACCCAAGCAGCGGCTGGGTTTCCCTAATTTGTCTCCCCAGTGTCCAGCCCAAAGCCAGAGACAGAGACAGGTAATGTTGCTGGATGAAGACATGCTTGAGAAGCTCGTCAGGTACAGAGGGCATGCAGGCCTCCAGCCCTGGGGCCTGGGCCTCCACCCACCATACCTGGGCTGGCTCTTCCACACTCTTGTTGAGGAAGTTGAGAGAACTGGCCCGCTTCATCCTGAGGGGAAAGGAAGGCCAGGATGTGCCCATGGTGGAACTGGGGAAGGTGGGGAAGGGGATCGGGTTGGGGTTGGGGAGGGAGGCTGATGGGAAAGGCACAGATTGGGTGGGTAGTGGAGCTTGAGAGAGATGAGGAGCGCACCCTGAGTCAGGAGCTCATTTGGGTTGTTGGGTGGGGTCTTGAGGCTCACCCTGGGTGGTAAACTTATCAGGGCAGAGGCTGACCTGGGGTTTGGGGGCTCCTGGGGGCCACCACCCTGCAGCTTCTTCACCAGCATTTCACTGCTGCGCCTCAGAGCATCTCGGAGCTTCCCAAAGGAGCCGCTGCGCCGCAAGGAGCCACTGCCATCCTGTGGTGTGGACATGCTTGTCTATGTCATGCTGGCTACACAGCCTCCTGGCCCACCCCAACCCCTAGACTCACCCCGCTCCACTCGGCTGCAGGCCCTGCCTCCTCAGCGTCAGACTCAGACCGAGCCCCAGCACCCCCGGCCACATCTCGGCTGCCACGGCGGTCTCCCCGCCCACCACTGCCATCTTTCAGCAGTTCCACCACCTTGGTTTGGCTTGCAGGGTCCAGGCCCTAAGGAAGCGGAGGGCATATTAGATGAAAAACAGGGCCAAGTAGGTCCCTGCCCAGTCCTCAGGTCTGTCGCCTACCTGCTTGCGGCTGCGGCTGGCACAGTCCTCCAGTGTGTGTGCAGCTTCTAGCTTGCCCTGGCGCCGGTACAGGGCCCCCAAGCTGCGCAGGGTGGTGTTGACTGTGGGGCTGTGGACAGGACAGCGGGACAGTCTCAAATTCTGTGTTCCCCAGGAACCAGGGCCTATCCTGGCATCCAGCCCATACTGAGCTCTAAGGAACCAGCCGGCCAACCAGGATCTCAACCCTCCTAGGTGTCAAGCCCTGTGATAGGAGACCCAACTGCACTCTCCGTCTTGGAATCACCCCAGGGCCTGGGACCTGGCCACAGGGACCTAAGTGGGATATTGCCACTAGGACTGAAAGCTGGGAGACTCAAGCCCTGGCTGAGTAGCTCAGTTGGTTAGAGCATCATCCTGATACACCAAGGTGTATTTCGATCCTTGGTCAGGGCACATACAAGAATCAACCAATGAATGCATAATAAGTGGAACAGATTGATGTTTCTGTTTCTCTTTCCCTTCCTCTCTCTAAAAATCAATAAATAAAAATTAAAAAAAGCTGGGAGACCCACGAATGAGATCATCAAGCTTTCCCAGTACAGAAAGCCGTTTTGGGGTGGCCTGTGAGCCAGGCCTTGGAAGAGAAGCTGATAGAGAAGGCGTAAGCAGTATGAATTGTGCAGCCGGCCACAGCCCTCACCCAGGATACTGTTTCCCTGTGACCTGCTCTACCACCAGCCCTGCCCCGCCGTCCTCACCTGTCCACTTTACAGGCCTTGTACCAGCTGCCATATTCCCCATAGGCAGTGCTATCCCGGCGCTTATCCTGGGGGAAGAATGGTCAGGGGTGGTGGGAAGAGAAGGCCCTCCCCTCCACACCCCCAACTTTACCTTCCCTCCCTGGACACCCACTCCAGCCGTCCCGCAGTGCTTACTACCTTGGTCTCCTCCCGTTCCTCTGCGTGCATCCAGATGGGCTTGTTGTCCCCTGGGGAGAAAAAGGGGGCTGTCACCAGCCTCCCATCTAGGCCTCTCCTGGTTGGGCTCGACATAAAACTGGGGTCTGGGGAGGGGGTCAGGGGAAGCCAGGAAGAATCAGGGTTGGGCTTTGTTGAATGAATGAACAAGAATCAGACCGAAAACATTAGTGACCCTCCTCTGAAACAGATGACTGTGGCACAGGCTTGTGCTTGAGGGGCTTGGGGGAGCAGACCCTTAGTCATGGTGGGCCCACAACTGAGCCTGAATGATGAGCCAGGCTGAAGGACCCAGAGCAGGAAAGGATTGACCATCAGGGGCCAGCAGGTAGCTTCCCAGAGAGGGAGACATCTGGGCTGGGCCTTCATGGTGAGCAGAAGTTGCCCAGTAGAGAAAGGGGAAAGACTCTGGGCCAAGGGCATGGGGTATACAAAGGGTGTACATGGCACAGACAGGGCCCAGGAGGTGTGTGTACATGCTCACATGTGCACATGACACCCCAGGCATGAGGGCCTGCCTGCCTGGCCACTGTGGATGTTGATAGTAGAATGAGCCTGTGCTAGGTGAGCTGGGGGCACATGGCAGTCATGGACTCACCATTGACAGAGCCAAACTCCTTCTCGTGAGCACGGGTGAGGATCTCCTTGTACAGGGTCTCTGCATCCTGGTACTTGCCCTGCTTCAGGTAGCAGGAGGCCTGCAGAGGCAGGGCCAGAGGAAAAGCAGGATGCAGGGACCTGAGCCTTTTCCTTTCCTTCTCCCTCCCTCCCTCCCTCCCTGCCGCAGCTCCTCCTGGCCCAGGGTACCAGGTTGTTCTTGGTCTTGGCCACGTTGGGATCATCAGGCCCGAGGCGTGTGGCGTAGATTTCCAGTGCCCGCCGGTAGTAGTATTCTACCTCCTCAGCTTTGCCCTGGTTCTGGCAGAGCAGTGCCAGGTTGCTCAGCTGCTTGGCCACATCTGGATGAAATTTGCCCAGGACCTGGGATGGGAGCAGAAGCCAGTGGCTAGGCTCAGAGCTGGCCTAGCCCCCCTGCCTGGCCTGCCCAGCCCTGCCTGTTCCCACCTTCTCCCGGATCTCCAGTGCCCGCTTGCACAGAGGCTCGGCCTCCTTGTACTTGCCCCGCTTGCCGTACAGAACTGCCAGGTTGTTTAATGTTGCAGCCACCTGGGGGGTTTGGAGAATAAATGGAGGCTCTGTGACCCGGGGCCCTGCTGGCCAAGGGTTCTGAGACCTGGGTGCTGCAGAGAGCAGCAGCAGCCCCAACCTCCACCCACCCTCACTCACAGCTGGGTGGTCCTTGCCCAGTGTCTTCTCGCGAATGGCCAGGGCATCATTGAGCAGGTGAGCAGCCTCCTTGTACTTGTTCTGGTCCCTGGGGAGGTGGAAGTACGGTGAGA